CCACGGCTCTACAAGCCGCAGCACGGACATCGAAATCCGAGTCTTCAAGCTTCTTCACCAATTCTGGCCAAGTCAGCCGGGGAGAGGCGGCCAAAGCTTCCAAAGCCGCAGCACGGACGTTGGACTCACTATCTTCAAGCTTCTTCACTAGGCGACTGAAGAGCTCAGGACTCCCTTTGAGCGAACTAAAGATAGAAATGAAGACTAAACATGTTCAAGGAGTAGTTTCACACGAACCCACGAACCTGTTGAAGATCAAAACACTTGGAATCGGCTTTGCGACCCTTCACTGCAAATGGCACCAATAGCGAGATTTGATCCACCCTTCATCTCATCCTCCAGGGCACCTCCATCGTTCCCGCTGCGCCGGTCGGTGCGTCTCGCCACGAAGGGATGTTGCTTTGCGCGGCACATGGTCATCCGTTGCGCCGGGTCCAGGCACAAGAGCTGCCTCATGAGGTCGATAGCATCCTCTTGCAGCTCCGGGCGAGAATCCAAAAGGGGCTTGAGCCTAGTGGTTTTCCACTTCGGATACCTCTCTCTCCAATGTTTCAGCTGCTTCCCGCCCGGCCAGTTGGTGTTGCTGGGGGAGCCAAGGAGGCGAAAGATTTTGAAGAGGGTGTCCACGTCACTATCTCCGGGGAAGAGCGGGCGTATCGTGGCCATCTGTGCCATCAAGCAGCCAGCTGACCAGCAGTCCACTTCAAGACCGTAGCGCTGCTCTCCCAAAAGCAACTCGGGTGCCCTGTACCACCTGACCCCTACCACTTCATCATAGTAGGCACCACAAGTGTTCATCACCTGCACGTGCTCAAAGTGTGCGATCTTCAGGGTACCATCATGGGTCAAAAGGATGCTCAAAGGATTCAAATTCCGATGCGCTATCCTCCTGGCATGACATGCATCCAAACCCTCCATGAGATCCGAACTGTGCCGTCGCAAGGTCTCCATGGGCATCATCTCCTGTTTTCTTGCGAAAGCCTTGAGGGTCTCGGAGAGAGTGAGTGGGAGGAACTCGAAGACCAGCCAGATGTCATAGCCCACCTCCAAAATGTCGTTAAGCTGGACGATGTTTTGGTGGTTGAGCGATCGCAACACAGAGATCTCCTGTTGGATAACGGCCAATGGAAGGCCATCGTCAAAGCTTCTCTGGTTCACGTGAAGTTTCGTGATAGTGAACTTTTTCTGAGAGCTCGATCCCTCTGCAAGCCACAAAGAGCCATAGTACCACTTTGTGATCTCCTCCAAGACCAAATATTTGCCACACAGGGCTGCACCTAACAGTAGGTTGGAGGCCATCGTCAGTAGGTTGGAGGCCGTTGCTAGTAGGCCGAAGGCCATCGCCATTAGGTTGGAGGCCATCAGAGGCCATCCCTTATAGGTTGGAGGCCATTGCTAGTAGGTTGGAGGCCATCGCTAGTAGGTTGGAGGCCATCGCTAGCAGGGTGGAGGCCATAGCTAGCAGGCCAGGCCAATTCGGGAAGAGGAGGCGGACTTTGGAATTGAAGTGTTTAAGTTCAAGCTACTTCACCAGTTCTGAAGAATGCTTAGCCAAGTCATCGGGGGAGAGGTGGCCCACAGCTCTACAAGCCGCAGCACAGACATCGGAATGTGAGTTTCAAGCTTCTTCACCAGCTCTGAAGAATGCCTAGCCAAGTCACCGGGAGAGAGGTGGCCCAAAGCAGTACAAGCCGCAACACGGACATGG